AGACAGACAGACAGACAGACAGACAGACAGACAGATTGACATAGGCAGGGGCAGAGAATGGTTATGGACAGAGCCCTGTGTCAGATGCTGCTGTGGCCACTTGCTAACCGTGTTAACTTATCAACGTGCTTAGTATTTCTAAGTATCTACTTTCCTAGCTTTAAAACTGAACAGTAACACCATACCTATCTCCCAGGGAGGCTTCCAAGTTAATTGCTATGGAACTCCTCATGCAGAGCCAGATATCAGGAGTGGCAGCCAGCCGTGGGAAACACATACTCCCCTCTCAAAGGCTATTGTGCTCGGAGGGTGCTCCTAAATGGCACTAACAGATCTAGATGGTGCATTCTTAGGTGCCTAAAAAATGAGCCAGGACACCTTTCAAGGGTTCAGAGGTGGGCAGTCAGGGCACTTTGTCATCAGCAAGTGCTTTAACAACGATCCTCTGATGGTTCACTGGCAATGGGTGGCGTGGGTGTCATCACACCCATAAAATCTTAGGCTCAGAGAGGTTAAGAGATTGTTGTGGTGGTTCCTGCAGTTAGAGTGCCTCCCTCAGACCTGAGCCTGGATCCCATTGCTTCACGGAAAACACTGCTTTCAAAACCATGCACAGGAAAGAGCAGAAGAAACTTGTGTGGGCCTTGTGGAGAAGACAGCTGGGTACAGAAAGGACAGAACAGGTGTTCAAGGCAGGAGCTTTTCATAAACAAGTGGAGAGATGGTTAGATACATTTTGGGAAAGAAGAGAGTTCATATGAACATGGTAGGAAATAGTAGAATTAAGGATGAATGTATTGTGGAAAACCTTGACTATCAAACTAAGAAGTTCAGGAAGCACTAGGCCCTGTGGACCACCGAAGTTTTCAGAAGGTCATACCACGATTCCAAGGAGCAATAGGATGGTGAGAAGTTTCAAACCAAGACTCAGTTGGACTGGTTAAAGAAAATAGTGTTTAACCTAGGAAACAAAGATTCTAGAAGAGAGAAATGTATTCCCCAGACTTTGGGGAGAAAATGATGTTCAGTGGGTGGCTAGGGCTGGGGAGAAGCAGTGTGACCCAGTGAGGAGAAGCTCCAGGGTGTTCATTATTTTTCAGTTCAAGGGAGGAAGAACTCTGGTCCTTTCAATGCACTTCAATCTGAGTGTATCAGGAGCCACCACATATCCTGTGCATGGGGCTAGGCACTGGGGATTGAGCTGTGCCAGGTGGGGCTCACCTCATGGAGCTCGGAAGCAAAGATGCACCCAGCCCAGAATTCAGTGTGCAGCCACAGCTGCTGTAGTTCAGCACCAGCTGCTCTGAGAGGCCAAAGGGCCCTGCTCTTTAGAGTGGTCAAGAGAAATCTGTCAGGGCAGGGGACTCGGCTGGGGGATCACCTGGACTGGATGACTTCTCATGAGTCTCTGCTCCTGGATGTGTTGCAAAATCTTTAGAAGTCCTAAATCCCTTAATTAGAGGGAGAAAAAAGGCAAGTGATCAATTAGCTTCTCTTTTTAAAAGCCTGCGTTTGCATGCCCCATCTTAACTCGAGTCTGAGATGTAGAGCGTGTAGCCAAGCAGGAATTTCATCCTGTCTGTAGCTAAATGACTCCACCTATGAACTGAAAATCATTTAGCTGAAATTGTGACACAGCCAGTAAATTATAGTCTGCCTGCAGGTGGAGGCTGCAACCACAGCTGTGGTGCAATACTCCAGGAACTAACATGCAGTCGACTCAGGCCAGCCTGGCAGGGCAGTGGTGGAGGGGACAAGGGCAGCTGGCCCCTGATGTCCATGACACTTACCTGTCTCCAGAGGGACCTCCTTGCTACTGCCATACTTCACCACAGTTTTGAACCTCACCACAGCCTGGGGATTGGTGGGTCACATTGATGAGGACACTGGGGTTCAAAGAAGTGAGAAGATTTGGCTAAAGCCACACAGTAGGCAGCTAGTGCCTGGCTCTGAATCTTCCAAATCCAACGTGGTGTGTCTTTCTACCCCATCACAGTGGGGTCAAGGTGACCATTTGCATATCCTTCAAAGGAAGTTCACATAGCCAGTAGCCAGACAGCAGTATCCAAACTTGTGGTCCCCCTTCAAAATATGTGGCACTTGAGTCTGTGGGTTCCTTAAGGAAAATAATAATGAATCCTAACTTCTTACCCAGTGCTGTTCCTGTATTGTGCTAATCAAGAAGTTTTATTCCTCGACTTCTTTAACACTCATACCAATTCCACCTTGGTTTTACAGATAAGGAAACAGAGGCTCTGAGAAGGGAGGTAACTTGGCAGAACCACAGTCTATGTGACCCAGGTCAGTGCAACCCCAGGTTCCTCTCCAAGTGCAGTGCCATCTGCTGTCACCTCCACAGGTCAGTAGATCATTGTCAGATCATTGAAGTAATGTCCAGGGTCCAGCTCCTCTTGGCTCCCAGGTCAACAATAGCACCAACTACGACGATCACAATGACCCCAAACAATGTCAGCCTCACCCAGACACACGGCTGGTGCCGTAGGGGCCAAGGCCACCCTCAACCTTCTTTATCTGGTTTGAGGGCTCTGGCCATACCTCCACTTCTCTCTTTTCTTTCTGAACCAAGATCCCAAGAGGACCAAAGCCCAGGAGAGATTGAGCTCCTCCTCCTTTGTGCAACAGCCTTAGAAGAGGGGCAAACAGGCCACAGAGTCACTTACCCATGGTGGAGATGCAGGGCTGATTGCCTCAGGTGAACCCATTAGGCCCCCTGCACAAGGCACTGATGCTAGCACCTGTGTCAGGGGATGAGGTGACTGTTATGAGAAGAGGTAGCCAGCACCTGCTCACAGTTAGAGTCCTGTCCTTGCAATGATGGAAAAGGCCACTTATTTGAGTGTGTGTTTCTTCCATGCATTAGGTTCTGAGGAATAGGGGAGTAGCCCAAGCCACCTGTACTTCCGCATGGCATTTTTCAGTCTAGGACTGGGATACATTCATTAAACAGAAAATCCCAGCACAGTATAATGTGTATTTTAACACTCTTAAATCGTGTGTGTGTGTGTGTGTGTGTGTGTGTGTGTGTGTGTTTAGCTGGGGATTTAGTCACTGATACATGTGTACACTGAGAAAGGACTTCATTTTTTCTGCTCTGGGTTCTGCAGAGTTGCTTCCTTTCCCTAGAGGGGCCTTGATGGAATTCTATCTGGGCAAGACATTTTCAAGAAAGCATGTCATTGGGCCAGGGATTTAGCTGGCACAGTACCCACCTAGCAATTGTGAGGCCCTGAGTTTGCTTCCTGGTACCAAAAAAAAAAAGAAAAAGAAAAGAAAGGAAAAACATGTCATTATTTCCCAAACCCTATCATCCAGGAACTTGTTCACTGGAAAAAAAAATTATAACAGTCAACTATCTCATTTTCTTGTCCCATCTCCCCCCACCTTTCTCCTAAGCTGACCTTTCACAAGTGGGATGATCTTTCAATTGGTGACGAGCATGTCATAAGTGAAACATTTACAGGCACTACAGGAATGACCTTTTGATTTCAGATAAGCCCTAGTTCAGCCCAGGAGTGCGCAGATTCATTTTCCACCTGCATGTTTGCAGTGAGCTACCCCACAGCTGTGTGCCTGTGAAGGGTAAGCACAGTTATCCCCATCATGAACAGGGTTTGCAAGTTCCCCAGGCTGAAGGGTGAGCACCCGCCCCATGAACCCAGGGCCTTGGGCACTTTAGGCAAGTACTCTACCACTGAACCACATCCCTAGCCCCACAGTACATCATAACGGGGCTTCATAAACATCCAAGTGTCTGGGGGAGCCCAGAGGACAGATAAAGGACACTGCCTCCTTTTCCAGTTTTTCCAAGCCACCTACAGTCCAGTCTTACCTTCTCAAGATCCAGCACTCCCAGCTTTTCCCTACAGACAGGACCTTCCCATCTGTCCCCACTCCCCACTCCAGCACCCAGGGGGCCCAGAGACATTTTTGTGTCAGGATCTTTGGAACATTACTCTTTCCCCTTTAATATTAACTCCCTTGTATATCACAGGAAACCTTACCACTTGTCAGCATTCATAATAAGATCTTTGGTGAAGCGCTATCTCCTTAAAACTAAGCAAACAACAACAAAAACAGAACATTCTAGGGCCACTGCCATACTCATCTTTCTTTTATAACCAGCATAGACGATGGCAATGGAGGAGGTTAGTGACTTCCACTGCAGTTTAGTGAGGATTCATGACAGGGCCAGAGGGCCACAGGCTGAAAAACAAGTTTTCTCCTATTCTGGACTCAAACTGCTTTTCTATTTCAGATGAGCCCTGGCTCAGCCGATGGGGTGCACGAATTCGTTTTCTATCTGCATCATTGCATCAGGCTACCCCACAGCCATGTGCACATGAAGGTTAAGCACAATTATGTCCGTTATGGACAAGGTTGCCAAGCTCCCAGGCTGAGGGGCGAACCGCCAACAGAACAGAGGGCTTCCAAGCTGCAAGCAAATGTTCTTTTTATTTACAACATCCCTGAGAAAACCACCCATGATGTGTCTCACACACCTCATGCAAGTGGGAAACAAGAATACACGTATACAACAAGAAAGGACTTCGCATTTTCTGCTCTGGGTTCCGCAGAGATGTTTCCTTTACCCAAGGGGTCTTGCCAGAATTCTCTCTGGGTAAGACACTTTCAAGAAAAGCATGTCATCATTTCTTAAACCCTATTATCCAGGAACTTTTGTTCACTTTAAAAAGAAATCATAAAAGCACACTATCTGATTTTCTTGTCACAGCTCCCCCCACCTTTTTCTTAAGCTAACCTTGCACAAGCATGATCTTCCATTGGGTGACAAGCATGTCGTAAGTGAAACGTTTACAGGCACTACAGGAATGACCTGGTGCCTCGCCCACCTCATTAGAATTCTAATTAGTATGTGTAGGAGAGGCTTCTATAAATGGTCAGACAATCCTGACACCGGCTCCAAACACCAGCTCTGTCATTTCCAGAGGAGCCCCAAGAGAGGCAGAGGAAGGCGGATCATGAGTGGTAAGTGTGTCGCACCCTCCGGCAGACCCTTGCTGGAAGCCAGTGTTTCCCCTGACCAGTCGTGAGGCCCAGGGGCTGTCCGGAGCAGCTCCCTTCTTGAGAACTCTGAAGGCTGAATCCCAGAGCTTCAGGGTTCTGTTCCAAGCTGGCTCTTCAGAGTGGCTGTCCAGTCTGTCTAGCACATTCCAGAGGTAGTACAAGACTGAGTGTAATTCTGAGTGATGGTAGAGTGTCAAACACAGTTAGAGGTGATGTTCCATTAGATGGGGACGAGCCCTGCCTTAGTGATGTTTCTTTTACACACTGGTGTCCACTGTAAAGTCAAACCAGAGGGCATCCCCTCCAAGAGTTGCTCAGTGTAGTTTTACCAGCTGCTGGAGTGGATTGAAGCAAAGCACCTCTCAGCACTCTGAGTGGTGAGAGTAACAGGCTGCATGCTGAGCTGTGAGAAGCCCTTGGCATCACTGGAAGGCTAAGTAAACTACACATCCGGAAGCGTTGGCAGGTTCAGTGGCGTGCTGAACCCCAGTAGCAGAAGCAGCCAGCATGCTACATGATCCTCGCTGTCCCTTCGAGGGAAAGGAGTGAGAAAGGACAAGAAGGGCAGGTTCTTTAGCTCTGTGGGCATTGTCTGTTACTGTCGAGGATTTGGGCTCTTTGTTAATTAGTGCCCCCACTAAATAGCCTGCTAATTATTGCCTGTCATGGGTCTTCAGACCAGAACGTTGACAGCAGCGACGCCAAACCCAAACAGGTCATGAGTCAAACCTGTAAAATACCATGAATGGCAATTTTGGACCATAGAAAGGGTTGCCAAAAAAACTTTACTGAGCCAGGTGAAAAGATGAACGTGTGCTTAAGACTGACTGCTTAAGAACTCACTGATGTTGCCAGGCCAGGATGGATACCAAAATGTTCCCACTTCCTCCTGTAAGTGGACAGCATGCCTGGGAGGCCAACAAGTAGCACTCTGGGTACTTTATCAGGAGGGGGTGGGGTATCTGTCATCTAGCTCCAAGGACCCTCTCCCCCCAGGAGGAAACAGGCCCAGAAACAGGTAGAGCTTTGCCAAAATTACACAGTAAATGGCCAGCAGAGCCTCGCCAAGTCCCAGCCACTGTGGAACTTTTCCACTGTGTTTTACTGCCAAAGCTGAGCTTACCCATAAGTTCATGTGACATCTGGAACACAGAAAAGCAATTCTGAACATGCTTTCTTATTTGAGCTCTGTTATCAACTGCTGCAGTGTTTTCTGCTGCTAATGTGACCCTAGTTTACAAGGTGAAGAGCTTTGTATAGATGGGCTTAGGGGCTCTTTCCAAGACTGGTTCTGTTTCCATGTAAGGTCACTGGCAACAGGGAAAAGATGGGCCCCATCATGTGCCTAGACACCAGAAATTTGTGTAGGACCTTCGAAGGGGGCCACAGTAGTGTGCAGGAAGTCCTGGGATTCATGGGTACTGAGCTTTTAGAGCCTGATCTAAATTTACCAGAGATGTCCTAAGGTCACAACAGCATAAGGGCAATGGCAGGTGGGGAGAAAATCAAATTTTGAAAAGTGGGTGGAGAGGGGCCAGGGAGATGGCTCAGTAGAATAAGCGCTTCCCTGGCATGCCCAAGGGCCTGAGTTCAATCCCTGCAATCCCTGGTTTCGCAAAAAAAAAAAAAATGTGGGTGGAGAGGCAGGTGCATACATTCAGTGCCTTCAATTTGTTGCCTATGCAGTCAGCTTCTGGCTCAGCTCCTGGCCACTCAGGCAGGAAGGGCAGGGTGCCATACTCTGTGGCACTCCTAGGGCTAGGGCTGTGCCAGGCACCGAAGGTGCAATGGAGACAGGGGAGCTGCAGTTTCTGCCCTCAGTGAGCTTTCAGGCTTGGTGACACCAGTTCATCAGTAACAAGCAAGGTGAACTGTCACTAAGCTACATGACAAATTCAGGGAATTAAGCCTGGCTGGAACCCAGGATATGGAAGGCTTTGGTTGTGGAGGATGAGCTGGGCTTGGTCTGGAGCTGTTTGTGCAATTAGAAGTGTTTTGGACAGACTGACCAGAAAAACAAATGTGGCTACTTTGGCAGATGTGCCCCAGGGGAAAATGTGGATGATACATGTTCTACTTTGGGGGCACCCTGTGTCCAGCTCTAATTTAAATAAGTAGAGGGCTCCAGCTACTATGCCCCTTGGGGGAAAGAGTGCTGGGGCTGTGGACAGGATGAGAGTGTGAAAGAAAGCCCTTGCGTGTCCTGCGCAATGGCGGGAGCCCAAGTGGACAGGAGTAGAGCTGTGCACGAGACGCCGGCCCGACTAGGGGAAGCAGTGTTCCCCATGGCACGGCCTCTTAGAGTAGTCCTCAGGGCACAGACCTGAGCCCCAGAACTCTGCCTGTGAAGACCTAAAACTCTGTTTTGGGACAAAAGGCTCCGTCCCACTGAGGCTGTGGGCATCCTCAGCACTGTCAGGCCTGGCACTGCTCTTGGCTTCAGAAGCTCACCTTGTCTGGCTTCACTTCCTCCACCCCAGAGCATGCATCACATTCTGGGCCTCTGGTTCTGCCACCAAACATTGTCCCTGGAGCTGGGACAGCAGCAGCTCTTCCTCCCAGGGAAGCAAGCGAGGATTCCTTCCGGGATCTTGCCTCTTGCTCTCGGTACATCTCACAGAGTCCTCCTCACTGTCCTTGCTCTGTTCCAGCTCAGCGTCACTTGGGACCTGCTGTCATGAGCCTGTTTTCTCCTTGCCTCAGGTTCTTAAGAAAAACCCTATGAGCTAAGGCTGACTTTGTAATCAAGGATGATTCCCACAGGTCCCCTCCATTAGGAGCCTTTCCAGCACCAGCGCCTGTAGCCCTCCCCAGCCCCTCCACACAGTCCTAGATTCCTTGCTCTTCTTGTCCACATCAGATGATTTCCTGTTACCCCTCCAGCCTGCAGGACCCTGCAGTACCCACAGCCCTCCCCCTCCCCCGCCCTTCTCCTCACACCCCCCCCCCCCCCCCCCCCCCCCCGCCCCCCCTTGCCCCCACACCCCCCCCCGGGCCCACATGCCAGGCCAGGAAATGTACTGATATTAGGAGATTTCTTCCCTATCCCTTGGGAGGGGTGGGAATGTAGCCCAGGTTTGGGGATTTTGTTTATTTTTGTTGCTTATTTGGTTGGTTTGGGGGTGGGGGTTGTTCCTGTTTCTTCTTTGGGGGAAAGAGGAATCCAATATCTCGATGCTAAGGACCAAACCCAGAGCCTACTGCTTGCTAGGCAAAGCACTTTACCAGTCTTTGGTCAGGATGAGGGATGTTTTTAAAGGAGTTTGCCACCCCTTCTCTCAGCCCTATTTTCTCCTGTGTGAGAGGACAGCAAGAGAGGACAGTGACTCCTCCCTTGCCTGATCCAGAACCACTGTGCATCTGAGGTGAGACAGGTAGTGTGAACAAGCTTCCTGGAATTGTAAGATGAAACCAAGGCCTGGGGTGCTGAGTCCCAGTCTTAAAAGAATCACCAAGAGACCTTTTTTTTAAATAAAACAAAACAGTACTACTCCTAACTCAGATCCCCATTTAGTTGGACTGGGGTAGATTCAGACCAGTTCAACATTCCCCTGGTGGTTGTTCCAGCAGCTGTGGCTTTTGGCCACTAAAAGACCACTAAAAGATTCTAAACTCTCTTTGGAAGGGACAGGATGAGGAGTCCTGCTGCCCTGCCCCTCCCCCCCTTGACATCACACTGATGGGCAAGGAGATGGCCCTTTCTTAGTCCTGGCAGCCTCCAGGAACTGCATCCGAGTCACTGCCACCACAGTCACATTGGGTGGCCACAGCACAGTAGCTCAGTCATCCTTGGTCAGGCAAGATCAGCTTTTGTCTGGACTTGGATTCAGGTCCTGTCTGTGCTTATGATGTTAGGCAAATGGCTTCGCCTGATTAAATGTCTAAATCCCTCATCTGTAAAATGGATATAACAACATCATAAGATGTTCGTATTAAAAGACATAAGGCAGGTAAAATGCTTATAGTGTAATGTCTGGCCTAGAAGAAGGCCTTAATGGTTGGTAGCTCATAAAATATTCAACCTCTTCTCTCTCTCTCTCTCTCTCTCTCTCTCTATATATATATATATATATATATATAATATACAGAGTCTCACTATACAGCTCAACATATAATGGTGATCCTCTTTTCCCACCATTATATTTTTTATCCCATGGCCTTTGTTCCATCCAACTCTGGAGGCTCCAGGGCTGGGACGGGTTTAGCTGGACTCCCAACGGTGACCCTACAAAAGGAAGGTTCAGATCTAACTTCCCCTTTCCTAGAGATAAAGAAGCCATGCGTCCAGGGCTTATTCTGCTTTGTCTCGGAGTGTCCCCAGTGCCTTCTTCTGTTGGCCAACAGCCCCAGGCTTCCCACTGGCCAAGGGCCAAGAAATCGTGCTGCTTCAGCTGCACAGGCTTGAAAGTGTTGGGACATGGGCGAAGGCTAGAAGAAAATGGCCCAGGCCAGGTAGAGAGGAGGAGAGGGAAGCTGGGGCTAAGCAGGGCTGTGCCTGGGGGCAGGGCAGGGGCGGGGGACAGCAGGACTCACCATCCTCGCAGGACCCGACCCGATCTGAGGCCTGGCTTCTGGGCCTGCAGGACTTCTACACTGATCTGTCACCTCAGCACACTGATTCTGCTTTGGAAGTCTTCGTTTTCTGATGTGCGGTATGGGAATACTGGATTCAATCACTGCGTTTCAAGTTGCCAGTTGTTTCTATCAGAAGTCTGTGACCAGTGTGCGTGTTTTCGTATTTGTTTGAAAATGAAGTAACAGGAAAAATTAGAATATATTCTACATAGTAGAATTGCTATTGTTTCATGAAACTTTGTGCCAGTTTGTGTGTTCAATGTATAGGAACAGTGTGTAAAATATATTTCTTAATGTGGTCTCTGGTGGGCAGGGGAGATGGCTCAGTAGAATAAGCACCTCTCTGGCAAGCACAAGGGCCTGAGATCAATCCCTGGTTCTGAAAA